TTTATCAGCTCTGTTCCCAGCTGAAAGTCAAACCACAGCACTGCACCAGCTACCAAGAAGGAGAAAAATGACTGCTAGTGCTAAACCCAGGACATGAACCAAAAGCTCATCCCAGTGAAGCTGAAGGCAAGGCCCTCAATGGTTTGGTGTCGTGCGTTCCATCAGAAGTGTGCTCTGGACCTCTCGGCTGTAAGCGGTGCAGGATCGCACCATGTTGTAAGCTCAAGCTCTAATCAGCAGAAACCTCAGAAGTAAAGAATGTCCCTGTTGTCTGTCCCTCCAAACACACAGGAAAGGAACCACAGGCATCCCCATAGCTTGTGATTTGAAAGGTTAAAGGAGGGCACTTAAAAACCCAACTGGTTCCAATCAGGGGAGGCAGTTCCAGGACACAAGCAATAGAAATGCCACATGGACTTCACTGCTTCTTACCTCGACCTATGGTCTCCTACAGGAATTAGCAGTCAGTGTTTGGACTGGTAAGGACATCAATAGGAGTACAAAAAGGACTGTGACCTGAGCACACTTGTTTTGGCTTTAATGAAAGGAAGGGTATAAAAAACAATGAAAAGGGTGTTCGATATAAAGGCTTCTTTGTGGAATTTGGGTGTCAGAAGAGTTGTGTCTGGCTTTCTCAGTCGGGATGTGTACATGAAGGAAGAAGGGTGCTTTAGAACACCTTCATCGATAAGAAAAGCACTCCCTGAACAAGATTAAATGCCGTGCCTTTCTCTGAAGCTTGCAAGTAGATAACAGTCACTGAGTAATTATTTTGATTGCCAGTTATCTGCACTATTGTCCTGCTGCTCTGTTCTCAGTCCCTTCCAAACTTACTTTTGCTGCCCACTGGAGGATGCAACAGCTTCCCCAGCATCCAAAGGAGACTTATTAATTGACACAGCCTTCAGATTTATGCAGTTTGAGTTACAGTATGTTAAGGTGGAGAATCTGGACTCCTCATTGCACATAAACATCTAAACAGTGTGGAAATCACTGAAGTGCGCATCTTTGTCCCTAAAATGGGAAGTCTGTAGTTGTTACTGTACTGCTATTAAGATTTAACATGTGCAGAACCTTCTCAAGTCACTGGTTGTGAATCGTGCAAAACTGCCACGTCCTGCTTAAAAATACTGATTTATTGTGATATTTATTTGATGGGCTTGTCCAATCTATAGCAGTTGAATTGTTCTTTAACCCTTACGTATTACCTAAGGAGTAAATGTAACCTGTTCCCTAAGATAACTAGCAGAGCTATTTCTGCTGGGGAATGAGCTGCTGGCACAGTGGCCATAGGGGGTGTGTAAATTATAAACAGGTCTCTTTGGAAGCTATGCTATCAGTAATTAATTAAACTTAAGGAGAATGATTTGGGGGTGCTGGTCAATGAGAAGCATCCCATGACCCAGCTTCAGTGAGCGCTGGAGCCCAGAACCCCCCGTGTGCTGGGCTGCACCCCCAGAGAGTGAGCAGCAGCTCAGGGAGGGGATTCTCCCTGTGTCCAGCTCTGGGGCAGCAGCACCAGAGGGATGTGGAGCTGCTGGAGCAAGTCCAGAGGAGGCCATGGAGCTGCTGCAAGGGCTGGAGCATCTCTGCTCTGGAGCCAGGCTGAGAGAGCTGGGCTGGGGCAGCCTGGAGAAGAGAAGGCTCCTGAAGGGGAGACCTGAGAGCAGCTCCAGTGCCTAAAGGGGCTGCAGGAAACCTGGAGAGGGGCTTGGGACAAGGGCCTGTAGGGACAGGGCAAGGGGAATGGCTTGAACCTGCCAGAGGGGAGCCTGAGCTGAGCTCTGAGGCAGAAGCTCTTCCCTGTGAGGGTGCTGAGGCGCTGGCACAGGGTGCCCAGAGAAGCTGTGGCTGCCCCATCCCTGGCAGTGCTCAAGGCCAGGTTGGACACAGGGGCTTGGAGCAAGCTGCTCCAGTGGAAGGGGTCCCTGCCCGTGGCAGGGGCTGGAGCTGGAGGAGCTTTAAGGTCCCTTCAACACAAACCAGGCTGGGATTCTGTGACAGAGGGGACATTTTGTTCTGATTTGGGCCTTGTACTTTTGAAACAACTTTATAGTTCCACTGTGGAGCAGTCTGGGAGAGCACATAGCAATTCCCTTCAGATGAGATAGAAGACAAGCCCCAGCTGGTCATTAGCATTCATTCACACCATCAGCTGGGCAACAGGCAGAAGAGAAACCTCTTAAAATGCATATAATTGTGGATGTCATGTCCTTAACCCCAAGTCTTACTCTGTAACTCTATGACTATACCGCCTGGTGAAGATGCAATCCAGAGTTACCCAGACACCGGTCTAAGATGGAGCCTCCAGGAAGGTAGGGACAGTCCCAAACCCTTTTCTGACCTCTTTGCCAACCCTTAGATGGTCTCCTCTACTACGAACCTGTATCACAATAGGTTTGGGGGTCACAGTCTGTATCACAATAGGGAAGAAAAGGGAGTCTTGGTGGATCAAGATACTGCGGTATGTAATTCTGACACTGGAAACAAGATAGAAACCCCCCATGAGTCAGAAATCAGAACTGTGTGTTATTTTGTTCACCTAATACACTGATGATGGCAGTGTAACAACCAAAATAGGAGTGAGGTTGGTAATTCAGCAGTGTACTCAAATTACTATCAGAAATATGCACCAAAAGCCCAGTACAACTATGTCAAAAAGCAATGCCACTGAAGAGAGAAAGTGTATGGGAGAGGCACACACACCCAGCCAAAACACCCATTGCACGTTGTAGTGTTGGCCAAGTTCAAGCAAGATTGCTTTGCTTCATAGAATAGGAAAGCTTGACTCCAGCCAAGTCAAAGTAAGGTCATCTGCGCTTGCCAATAGTATGCACGCTAGGGAATGACTCTCACCTAAATGGAATGACCTGGTTTGAGAACAGACTCAACCACATCAGACAGTGTCTACTCTACAGACTTAATATCACATTGTAGAAGACATGGGTTTTCCACATCTGAAACACGGTGACTCACCCCCTTTAGCGCTCTCTGGGAACTATGTCCAGGCTCTGTCCCATAGCACAGGAAAGCCTGGAGGCAACATCCTTTTAAGGATTAAGGAGGAAGTCAACCCAGTTGTAATGTGGCTGCTGGAGAATTAGATCTAAGCTGCAGCAGACTGGAGTTTCCTCCTCCTTCCTCCCTGAAACTCCATCACCCAGATGTGTAGGCTGGAGGAGTTGGTCATCTTTGTGGCTCTTGAGGGATTTAGCCCTTCTTGGCTTTTATTCACTGGTAAATCAATAAATAAACCAGTGATTTCCCAGAGAACTCAGTGCGTTAAATATACTTTGACCATTTTTCTAATGGCTGAAGTCTATGACCAAACTTTTGAGGGTATTTTGGATGAAGTTCAATGAAGGTACCAAAGACTGTTTTGGAAAATAGATTAACCTTTGCCATGAGCCATGTCTGTTTTGGGAAGCATCATACTCTGATGAGAGATGCAGCACTGGATTTTCATGCTTAATGCATTTTAACTCTGAGAATCTCCTTATGGCGATGACAGTGAACAGAAAGCAGGCTATGAACAGCAATAAGCACAGCTAGCCTGATCTTAGCAGCTTAAAGGGTATTTGGGAAGAAGCCTGATGATTGCAGCAGCAGACTTACAGTGTTCTTAGGGAAGTGTGTAGCCAGTGATCCAGCACTGATGGAAGGTTTGCTTAGATGCTTCTATAAAAGAGGACCAGAGGATTTCCCTGATTGATTCTGAACCTCTGCATCTCTTTTGTCTGTAATTTCTACCCTGTGAAACACAGGGAACTGGTGGCTGAGAAGGAACCTATAGCAGGAAAAACATGAGTTGTGGTAGCTCCCTCCATCCTGACTTGTTTTCAGTTAACTCAAAGGCTGCTCTTCCCTCAAAGACAGCCAAGTACGAGCACAGCTCAATCACTGCCATCACTTGGTTTTGCCACCTGTAAGACTTGAGCAAAGTTTTTGGTGTGCACTATTCTATGGAAAACCTTTGGGAATTGTTTTAGCCTATAAAGGAACCAATCCTTACGTGGTTATAGGGGGTTTGGTTTTAATGTCAGTGAAATGCCCCAGTTTGTGTATTACGGATGAACAATTGCACAGGGTAGAACATTCGAAATAATGAAGTTTCTGGTAGTGTCGTGACTATGGATGATGGAAACATTATTAATACCTGCTCAACAGTATCTATTTGAGTTCTCAGCACTTACACCAAGAACTGGTGATCAGTGAGACCTCATCCCATCATGCAGGTGTTACAAACTGCAGTTCTGATCCATAAGATGAACAAATGTCGAGTGGACAACAGAAAGATAACACAGGGAGCATGTGTAACATGCATAACCACCTGCATTGTTGTGATCCCTTGGACTGACTGATGCTAATCCAGCCATTACACGAGTCCTTTCCCAACATGTAGCACATAACAGTTTGTTCAGCAATAAGGAGTTTACGTGGGCTTTATATTTTCCCCAGAGCTTTGGGGTTCCCTTTTGGTTTTCCCTTTGTGGTGCTTTTGTCTCTCCTTAGCACATTCTCTGGTTGCATCTCATGTGCCTAAGAGAAGTTTTCTGTGTTGTGCACCTGGGTCATACGATCTCATGTCTGAGTGCTCATAATCCATGTTCTTGATGAGGTGCATCCCGTCATAAAGCAGTTAATGCACTGAATGACTAAACTCACCACTGATGAGAATAACTCTCTGACCTGGTAATGCAATAAGCGTGGTCAATAGAAATAACAAGCACTGCAATGGTTTGTTGGAGCTTTGTATTATATTCAAAGATGCCCACTGCTAAACCCTTGGTCTTGGGTGTGTAAGAGGAGCATTAACAGAGGACAAAGGGGGGCGCTGAGGGGCCCTAGGGGGACTTTGGGAGTCTAGGGTAAGCATTAATGGGGAATAAGAGAGAGGCTAATAGGATATGGGTGGCAAGAGGGAGCCTGCAGGGAGCAATGTGGACATCGGGGTGGGGGGTTAAGGGTGGGCCATAGATTTGGGGGGGGGAGGCTGTTACCCTGCCACTGCCACGGAGGGGAGGGTCTCACCGCCGTCCCAGCTTCGCGCCACCATCCGGCAGCGGCACCGGTACGAGTTCTGGTTCCAGATGTTGACGGCGATGGAGCCATTGGGCAGCTCATAGGGCTGCAGGGCCATGAGCAAGGGGTCACTGTCCAAGACTCCCAAAAGACAGGGGCTGGACCCCATTTAACCCTTAAAGTGTGGGGTCCCGCCTCTGCCCTCCAAAATGAGGATCCCCCACTTCCCCCCACACCCCAGTTTTCACCCTGTCTCTCCTACCTGGCACTCGTCAGGGGTGAAGTCCTGGGGATGGTGGGGGGCCCCAAAGGGAATGGCGGGCAGCGATCCCCCCCGCCTCCACCGCAGGCCCCCATCATCACTCAATAGCAGTGAGACCCCATCCCGCTCCAGTGTCCCATGGCCACAGAACACCAGGCGCCCGCTGCCCGGTGCATGCTGCTTCTGCAGAGGGGGGGCACAGACACCCTGTATGTGCATCCCTGTGCTGTCTCCCAGCTCCCCCCTGAACCCTACCTCCCCCCTGTTCCTTGATGCCTGGGTCCCTTCTGATCCCCTCTCTGGGCACCCAGACCCCTGGATTTTCGGGTTATCATCCCACACATCCCAAAGATCCCCCCCACCCCAATCCCTGTGTGCCCCGAGGCCCCAAACCTCCAAGCCCCAACCCCAGCCAGATGCCTGGATCCCCCCAAACACCCACATCCCCCACCCCAGGGTTCCACCCAAACCCCTTCCCCAAGCTTTAATGCCTGGGTCTCCCCAAAGCTCCCCTTGGTCCCCCCCATACCCCCTTGTACCTCGATGCCATAGCCAGGCCCTGGGGCAAACACCTCACTACCAACCACCCCTGAGAGGTTCTGGGGAGGTCCCCATGAGCGGCCGCCATCACGACTGCGCAGGAGGTGGGTGCTGGGGGAGCCGCAGGCCTGGGGGGGGTGGGCGCAGCGGGCACAAAGCAGCAGCACCTCATCCCCTCCCACCGCCAGGGCCCCCAGGTTCAGCCCATCCACTGCCGAGCCATCATCTGCAGCCACCCGCGTCGGGCCCCACGTTGCGCCTGGGGGGAAACATGGGCAGACCCCCCTGGAGCCCCCCACAAGCCCCATAATCCCCAAGGACTCAAAATCCTCCAGGGGAGTGTTTACACAGGATTGGGTTTAGGCGATTTATCCAGAATTGAATTGAAATTATGTGTACAGGGACTGAAAATACAAAGAAATAAGGGACACCCACTTGTTCACGAGATTCACGCTAGACCCCTTTGCTTCCTAAACCCCTGACAGAGCCTAGGTGCTGCTGGACCTAGTCCCAGTCTTGGGACTCTGGGCTCTGGTCCTGGCCCCCTCCGCCCCGCCCACGAGACCAGCCCCATGCTGGGCTGCGCTCCCCCCGGACTCTCGGTGCTCTCCCAGGCTCTAGGCACAGGGATACAGCAGACTGAAGGAGCAGCTCAGTGAGCTGGTTCCAGGGGAGCACCTCAATGTTGTCGGTGCCAGTCGAGCATTCCACGGCTGTCGGTTCTAGAAGAGCATCCTGCCGTTGTCAGTTCTAGGGAAGCATCCTGCTGTTGTTGCCAGGGCAGCATCCCATTGTCATCACTACCAGGGCAGCATCCCTCTGTTGTTGTTGCCAGGGCAGTATCCCTCTGTTGCTGGCACCAGGGCAGCATCCCCCTGTTGCTGGTACCAGGGCAGCATCCCTGTTGTCTGCACCAGGGCAGCATCCCCCTGTTGCTGGTACCAGGGCAGCATCCCTGTTGTCTGCACCAGGGCAGCATCCTGCTGCCCTCAGGACAGGGGCCATGGAGCCATCGGAGGCCCCTGGGCGAGAGCGCTGGGCCGGGTCTGAGGCGCGCAGGAGGCAGAAGCCACCCAACACGAGTGAGATCCCTTCCCCTCCTCTCCCGGCCAGGGCTGCCCGTGGGCACTGGGAGGGGGGCCCGGCTGACGCCTCTCTCCCCACCCAGCCCTGCAGCGAGCGGTGGTCTCGCTGCTGCCGGCCCCGTGCAGCCGGTTCCTCTGGAGCCAGCCGGACCAGCACCGCTGCAGCAAGTTCTTCCTGGCTGCCAGCATCGGGATCCTCCTTGGCCTTGGTGAGTGCTCCCGGTGCCAGGTGTGGCGAGAAGCTGGGGGGTACCAGGGGCTCAGGGTGCATCTGCTGCTGTTGCAGGGCTCTGCCAGGTCTTTGTCATCCCCATGAACATCACAGAGACGCATAAGGTGCAGCTCTCCTATGGGCTGGCAGGTGAGGAGGGGGCCAGGAGGAACTTTTTGGGCTGATGGGCGCCATTGGGAGCACTGGGGGGGGTCTCGATGGGACCATGGCTACAGCTCCATCCTCCCACAGGAGTGACTGCCTTGGGCTGGGCCACGTCCCCCCACTTCCGCTGCGCCAGCCTGCTCGTGGTCCCCAAATTCTTCGGCAAGGAGGGTCGGGTCTACGTCCTTTCCCTTGTCCTCGCTGCCATCTACAACGGTAGGTTGCCCCCCTGCATCCCTGTCCCACCCTTAGGGTCCCAAGGGTCCTGACCCCCCACTTGCTGGCACCAGGGCCCGTGGCCAACATCTGGCACAACCTGGAGGAGGTGATGCGCTCGCTGGGCTGCGTGGCAGAGCTGCAGGTCAACCACAGCCGCATGCTGTGGCGCATGTCCACGGCGCCCCTGCGCAAGGTGATGGAGGACATGGCGGTGAGGCAGGGTGTTGGGGTGGGAAGGAGGGAGGGGGGGGCTGCACGGAGCAGGGTCAAGCCTCTGTGTGTGCCCACTGTGGCAGCTGAGCGGGCAGATGCTGAACTCTGAGGTGCAGAACATTTCACGTGCCTTTGTGGGGCTCAATGAGGAGGTGGCCAGCGAGGCTGGGTACGACCTGCAGCAGCCCCAGCACGGCAAGACCCAGCTGGCACCCAGCACCCAGCAGCTCTATGAGACCAAGACCAAGATGCGCTGCAATGGTGAGGAGGGAAGGGAGCTGCACCCCCCCGGCACCAGCCTCACCAGGCACCACACGTGGTGTCCGGGATGGTGGTGTTGGGGCTGCATCAGCTCAGGCTCCTGTCCATCAGATGTGGTCGAGCTGGGCATGCAGCGCTGCCGGGACTGGTTTGACACCAAGTACGATGCTTGCATGGAGCAGATATTCGTGCCCCTCGTCAACCACTTCCTCTGCCTGCCCATGAAGTTCAAGTTCCTCTGCCACATTGTGAAGGGTGGGTAGCGTGGGGGGACCCCTGCCCTGGTCACCCTGAGTTGAGGCAATGCCAGCATCATCCTCACTGTGTCCCACAGTTATGAATAGCTGGTGCAGGGACAAGATCCCCCGTGGAGGGCAACTTTGGGCAAACATACGACATGGTGAACAACTCGGTCAGCAACCTCAGCCAGGAGTTCAGCGCCAGCGTGGTCTTCCAGGTGGGTGCCATGTACCGTCTGTGTGGCACAAGGCTTGGACGGGACCCAGCCAGACCCACAGCCCCTGTGCTGCAGGAGGAGCACCGCGAGATGCTGTCGGTCACCACCAACGTGTCTGCAGAGCAGCTGATGGAGGAACTGACCTCACACTTCCAGGAGCACAGTGCCCGCCTGGGCCAGACTTTCTCCATCTTCCGCCTGGTTCTTTCCTTCTCCTTCATCCTCGTCTTCATCACGTGAGCCCTGGCATGGGAGGGCGTGCGGGGTTCGGGCACAGAGAGACAGGGTCTTCTTTTGGCAGCAGGTCTGGGGTGAGGGGAAAGGCATGAAGACAAAGGAGGAATGCTGGAGAGCCAGTCCCTGGACCCCCCCCTTCTCTTGCCAGGGCTTTCTCCTACACCAAGCGGTATTGTCAGGACATCTCTTACGACAACCTCTACATCACCACCTACTTCCGTCAGATCGATGCACGCCGCAGGAAGGAGGTGAGGGGGGTGCAGGTGGCCTTGCACCAGGGCCGGGGGGCTGCAGGGGCTGTGCTGAACTGCCCCTGCCCCTTTCCCAGGGCAAGCGGACGCTGCTGCCGCTGCTCCGTGCAGAGGCCTCGGCCTTCATCTTCCCGTGCCGGCCCATGGTGCAACCGCTGGAGATGCAGAACATGGTGAGGGGGGCCGGGCGGGTGACACGACGGGAGGTGGGTCAGCTGGAGGAGGCTGCAGGACAGGCTGCAGCAGATGCTGCTCCCCACAGGTGCTGGAGCTGCTGGAGTGCATCCCTACCCTGCTCTTCCTCCTGCTGGCCTGCGCCATGGACCACGTGCTGGTCAGCATGCTCAGCACCATCCAGCAGCACTCCTTTGTGCAGTACTCCTTCCACAGTGAGTCCCCAAGCCCACAGCAATGCACAGAGATGCCTGTGTGTGCCCCTTCACAGCTTCACATGCTCCCACAGGCAGCCATCACTTGTCCATCCACGTTACGGGCACGTCCCTGATGGCGCGGCTCCTGCGGAGTACCATCGGCGCCCTCAACACCTCCTCTGACACCCTGCTGGAGACGTCCAACTTGGGTGAGCCCAGGGGATGGACACCCCATGCCCATCACAGCTCCACAGCCTGAGCAGGGGCTCAGCGCCACCTCATGTCCCCAGTGTGCCTGCCGCAGCCGCGCCGCATGAGCCAGCACCAGTACCTGAGCAGCTGCCTGCCCCTGGCCGGGCTGGCGCTGCTCTGCCTGGCCCAGGTCTACACATACCGCCTGCGCCGTGTCATCGCCGCCTTCTACTTCCCCAAGGTGAATAGCAGCCCCTCGTGGGCAGATTTTGGGGTGAGCCCATAACCTGGACCATAACCTTGGGGTGGGCTCATGGTGTTGGCAGCGGGAGAAGAGCCGCGTGCTCTATCTCTACAACAAGCTGCTGCAGCAGCGCCTGGACTTCATCCAGCGGCAGCGGAAGCGCATTATCCAGCGGGCACAGCAGCCCCCCAGGACTGGTGAGTGGGGCTTCACTGTTCCCCCCAACCCCAGGGTTCTGCTCTGCCATGGGGCCTGCAGCTCAGCCCCACACATCTTCATCCCTAGGGCACAGCGATACTGCGCTGGTGCTGCCGCCGCTGGCCCTGCCTGAGCCACTGGATGCGCCGGAGCTGCATGGTGTGTGGGGTGCGTGTGGGGCCCCCCAGAGCCCGCCTGCCCCGCACCTGCCTGTGCAGCCCCGTACTGCCGGCAGTGCTGGCGCGAGGCAGGACGTGTCTGCCTGGCCTGCGCCCCTCCCGGAGCCCAGCCCTGATGCCGACAGCAGCGACGAGGGTCTGGGGTACACGGGCTGAGGGCATGAGGCAATAAAGTGTGAGACCCCCGTGTGCAGCAAGTGCGGTCCAGGAGAGAGAGGGGGGAAAGGGGCTGGAAAGGGGACCTTAAAGCTCATCCAGTTCCAAGCCCCTCCATCCCCCCTCCCTTAGCCCCCGTTTCCCCCTTTCTCACCTCACCACTCCCTTGCTCACCAGAGACAACAGGAGCAACATAAACTTGACCCTAAAGGGGAGTTCTCACCCCTAAAGGCAATGGAGGAGCATATGAGCTTGAGGGCATCACCTTCAAGCCACTCTGGTCCCTGCACAGAGGGAAGCTCGGCAGCAGTGTGGAGGGAGGGGGGTTTATTTCAAAAGACAGTAAGACAATTGTTCCATTTAGTATCAAAACACTTGATAAGGTTCTTTGCTCCGGCTTGGCCCCTAAACCGGCTACAACCAGGCAGCATGCTCACACAAGAAGCTACACACTGTGAGCCTGACACGTCTCCACACTCACACCTCACAGCGACACATCAGCAATGCACAGCAAGGTGGCTTGTACCTTATTAAGACACTAAGAGCACTCCTGGCCAGGGGAGAAGGCCTCGATCCCTTCCCTTGGGGTAGGCAAAAACAGTTTCCCCAAGCGAACAAGGCTGTTGTACTTAAGCTGTTGAGTGTAAGCCAGCACTGAGTGCTAAAGCTTGGTGGGTCAGCACTCAGTGAAGGCAAATTCAGCTCCTGTGTAGCAATGGGTTAGAGGGGCCGTGGCTTCTTCAAGGGGAAAAGAAGTGGCTAACAGTGAGGGGGAAGAGAAGAGAAACAACCCCTGTGAAGGTTCAACTGGGCAGGGAACTGCCTGGTTTTAGAAGTCTCCTTCTACCCAGGTTGCTTCTCCACAAGTT